GAGTAGCTGAGTGGAATGGAGATAAGTTAAGCATTGGGTACAGGACCAAGTCTCCCCTGGGTGGTGCCAAAAGATGAGTCCAATAGAATCATCAAGTTGCCATAAGTCACGGAATGAGACTATTGCATGGCTGGGTAGTCAAAGTCTTCCATTCGTTAGTCATTTCAGGTGGATTAGAACAGGTTTAGGTTTAGGGTGGGCGTTGGCCAGATTTGGATTTTCCAGATATAATCCTAAATAGGACCTAGATTATTTAATACACGAGTAACCTCAACATCTGTCACAATGTTTCATTGTGACTAATCAACACTCAATGGGTAAAATATCAAATTTGCGGTAAATTTGAAAAAAAAAGGGAACTTGGAGTGTAGAGTGCACTGCCCACTGGACGATTCTGAAGCCTGACCAAGTGAGTGGGTTCCGGGTTTATTTGATTGTACGTCATTTCCAAGTTATATATAGATACATTCATACCATTGGCATTTTGTATTTGAGATAAGACAGAGACAGGATGCGGAGGGCCCGCTTAGGGGGAGCGTAACCCATGCTATGGCTTCCATTTATTAAATAGTTCAGATAGGCTGGAAATGATAGGTTCATGGTGAGAAAATGTACCATATGGTGCCCGTTCACTGATCAAAATTAGATTCAAATCGTCAGGCCCTGGCCTGGAATAAGGGGATTGACGATGATTTGTCAAGTTTCATTTTGCATTTGCATATAATTGTAAGTTTAGGTTTGCTTTTGTAATTGTAAGATAGATAGTTTACCTCAATTGAAACATTGAGTTAAACATGACGAATCATACCTCTAAAATAGTAGTAGTTACAGTGCCGCATTATCTAACTTTTGTTTTGTTTGTTTACATATAACTAATACTAATACCTCCTTGTTTTCTCTCTAATTTGTCTACTATGTCCCACCATCACGATGAGAGATGAGCTACCGTACATGGTACACGCTCATATACACTCCCAAAATAGTATGCCGCAAGTAAGTATATCACAGAGGCAACTAAAGATCCAGAAACAAAAACCGAAAACGCTGAACGGCAGATTGGTTTACAGTGGTCGACCAGGGTGTGTGCTGATAAATTACAAAATTACAATCACATCATTATTCCATACATCAGCTTGAATTACGTTGATCGATATTACATTTTTTTTGCTGTGCACTACACCACCGGAGCCAGCAAAGTTCAACAATCCATCGTTGCTTATGCCTTTGTTGTCGTTTGGAACCAGTTTTGCGAGGTAGGTGACGATTGTGCGTATTTCTCGCGTAAATTTTGAAAAGGGCCTAGCCTGAACAATACGTAAAGAGCAAATTGAAACATTGTACGTCGCGTGAAAGTGGAACTTAATGAAGGCCTAAGTACTTTTTCGTAGTTTTTAGTTTTCGGATTTGAAAGATCGTCGGTTACAGTGGCCTGCTTACTGAGCAGAAAAACGCGGTCCCAGGTCCTTACATATCAAAGAGATTTATAGTAAAATCGCTTGTGTATCGTGTATTTTGCGAAACTCGTTGTTGTCGTTGGTTCCGGGTTTGAATGGATACAAAAATTAGAGCAACGGTATTATGTGATATGAGGGGCTCGGTGGCCTTAGAGCAACCGTTTTTGCTTACTGAGCAGAACATCATGAGTCTAATCTCAGGCCCATCCACAATCAAGATTCGTCAATCGTTTTATTTGTTAATATGACTACATGGTAATAACAGCAACTCGGTGATTAAAAAGGTGCTCGTCTGCCTAGTGGCAAACGTTTTTGCTTACTGAGCAGAAGACCGTGGGTTTAGTCCCAAGCTCCTTCGCGTTATATGATCGTTAGAACATTAATTCAGCTTATCGTTTACCAAAACGAACCCTGCTGCAAACCCAACCCACTTATCCAACATCCCAGTGATTCCTCGTGGAAGTGCAGAGGTGTTCTCGGCTTCCATCAAAGCGAGTGTCATGTCAACACAATCCTTCCCATTCCTTTCTTGACCTGTGTTCGGGCGCGGCCAGCGCTGGTATTGCCTAATTTAAGATCACCAGTTTTTACACATTGAGGATGATTGCTAGTCCCAAGCATCGTCTATTGGTTCTCTGTGTAATTACAGCTGATCTGGCAATAACAGAGTAGCAACCGTGGGCGGTCAATCAAGCTCAAGCTCAAGCTCAAGCTCTCTTACTCAGAATATATTTAAACAAATATTGCAGAAAACTTACATATAGGACCCTGTCCTGGGTACGGCCGGCGTCGTCCGGTCTTTTTGTTGGCGTTCCACTCGGTATTGGGGGAGAAGAGGCAAATATGTTGGGTTGTTCCGTTTTGCTCCGCTGTTGCTTCCGCTACTCTGGACCCTCGTATCGATCGGGATTTTCCACGGTGTCCTCTCTCTTGCTTTGGCTACACTTGTATCTGCGTGGCTCCTTGAACCACCATCTCACTGCCCTGTATAGGATTTTTGCATAAAGCCTGTGTGTGGCTCTTTGTACCACTTCAATGTTTAGATTTTTGCACTTCAAAATTATGCTTGGCCCTAGGGACCAATTCACTTAAGATTTTTACACAGTTCTTCTTTGAACCAAATACACTTTCCGACACTAAAAGGATCTTACCGGAGCCTCCAGTTAAGATTTCACGGACGTGATAACCTTTTTTTTTTAAATACAACTTAACAACACGCTAGCCTAAAACGAACTGAACTTTTTTAGATAATCGATTATAACTACAGTTCACATTGCTCTCCTTGCACTTTTTCGCTGCATCGATCGTTGCCATCCGCTCTAAAGTTGTCGTCAGCATCCTCCACTGTCCCCGTTTGGGCAGCTCCAGTGCTAACTTAAGCCACGATTGCTAGCTCGCGTGATATGTCACCCTTTTATTGAAACGTTCAAATGGTGTGGCTGAATTTTGATCTCTACGAGCTCTAGAACGCTATGTTGAATTAATTGTATTAAGGTAGGTTATATATTTTTCCAATTCTTACTAAATATGCCTCCAAGGGGAATAATTTCGGGTCAGCGGAGGACTATCGTAAACTAGTTGTCAAACGAAAAATGCCATAATAAATTATTAAAATCCAAAACATGCCCAAATATGAAGAGTCCAATATGATGATAATTGAATGACATTTGTGCAATGTTCAGTCGCTTTAGAATAATATATCACAATTGTTCTGGTATCTTAAAAACAACCTTAAACATAACACGTCACAACTCTTAGCTCGAATATGGCATTATTAGAGCCACCGAAAATGAATTTAATTGATATGATGTTGATGATCCTGGTTTTCCACCCATTGTAGCACGGAAAGTAAGTCCGACAGCAGTGGGCTCGCATTCTCTGTTTGTCTTGATCAAGCTTAATAACCTCTGATTGTCTTGTATGAAGGGCCAAAAACGGATTTGGTAGATCGATAAGCAAAGTTGCCTATACCCATCTACGGAACAATAAAGAATCTCCTTCCAGCAACATGATCAGCCTATTGGTCAAAAAGACAAGCCCCCAAACAGGAAGATGCCCCAATGAGTGGGGAGAAGAGCCTGTCCTTTATTCACGAAATGCTATCAACAGGAAGGTGGCATTTCCACTCTTCTCGACCAAATCACTTCAATTGGGTGCCCTGTTGGACCGTCCCTTCCCTTTTATATATGTATTTCAATGTATTACAAGTTGATTGTTATGATTAGTGTCAATAATACTTACATTTCGATGAAGATCGTGCTAAAATTAATTTAATTAATCTCAAACAATTTTAAATTTTTGGATTTAAAATTGCTTAATAAACCAATTGGAAAATTAATACATAAATTGATAAAGAAAAAATCTACATTGCTAAAAACTCGTGACAATTAATTTCAAATACTTTAGAATAAGAATGTGCCGAAAAAAAATCATTAAACAACCTAAAAACGCACTGCATAGCAGAAATTAACCATGAAGGCTTAGCAATTGATTTGAGAATGTCAACGGCTTCAGCAGTTTGTTGAAGAGGATGAAAATTATTATATTAGGTTAAATTGTACAAACTGATTATCGACATATGGACTCGGATACCAAGAAGCATTGCAAATTTTACCAAGGTTTTATTCTATTCTATAATTCCAAATCATGGGCTTTAAGGATGTAATAAATCCAGAATTGCCAATAAGTAAATCAGTTTTCCCAAATGTGGGAATAATCTGAAAGACATTTCCTTCAATGATGACCACCAACTGTTCAAGTTAGATGAATATGAGTGAAAAATAAATTGAGGAATGCCTTAAACCAGACTTACTGATGAAAATCGATATTAAAACATTCGCAAGCATGAGGAGTCGTCACAAAAGTTTTAGTTTTTGTAATTGAAGCAGGTTAGAAACAAATTATTACGAATAAGGTTTGAAAATTGATAAAAAATCTTAGGGGGGCCGCAAAAATATACCAGGGCCCCCAAGGATGGTAAAGACTAGAATATATAATCCATAAAATCCTCGTATAAAAAGTTAACTTAATAAAACCATGTTTTTTTTATAACTCTAACCTACTTATTTAAAACGAAGCAAAGCGCATTTGACGTGCCACGCGAGAAATCAGCCGCGTCGTCGTCTCTTGTCCATTCTTACTAATCATCGCATTACCAAAGTTAAGCCCCTACCTATATATAATCAACACAGACCCAATAATGAACGACGACACACTTCAGATGTCCTGTTCATAATGAAACACAACACAGTGGCACACACTCGGCCCGAGCTCAAGACATATTTAATTAATGTTCCACCCAGTGCCAACTGAGCGGACGGGTTGACGACAATAGTGCAAACACACATCAGATATTTATTATTTCATTATCTCCTAGAGCAAATCACACGATTCACACTTTGACCTCACTGCCTTTCCGTGGTCCCCTTTCCTACCTCACACTCATCGCCTTCGCATAGCTCATTAATACACCAAATGCCATCAGCTCAAGCGGGCCGTTTTAACCCCACACCTTGTCTCTCTTTTTCCCTCTGACACTATTTCCAGGAGCTGGACTACGGGACGATCATGTGCTGGGCGGACAACGCGGTCGGTCAACAGCGGGAACCATGTGTGTTCCATTTGATTGCCGCCGGTAAACCGGAGATGCCGTACAACTGTTCCCTGGTCAACCAGACGTCCGAATCGCTCGAGGTGAACTGTGGAGAAGGTAATTAAATGCTCATTCATTATCCTGACCCATCAGCTGGAGACTGGACCGACTCGGTTGTCGGCGGAAAAAGGGCTCGTACGGGGGGGGGGGGTCATTTTTTAGCAGTTATGGAAATGTTCTCCTCCAATCAACCAACACACACGCACTTTTCCAGCTGGGTGAGGTCGCAAAGCAAAAAAAAAGCACGACGGAAATCGAAGAACAACTTATAATTAAGCTGTTTTTAATTAGGAGTAATCCACTTGGTGGATCGAACACAATCGGACTGGAGCTTTAAGATCAACTCGGGAGGGAAACGTAAATGTCCCATTACGGGTCCATAAAACTTCCGCAAGCAGTTTGCATTCTCATTTTCCCATTAATTAACTCATTACACGTGCATTCGAGAATGGTGCTTGTGGATAATGGGGGGTGGAAAAACTTAATCAATACAGGGTTGAATTGCACTGGCTTCATGCTTACAGTGTTGTTCGTCGAAAGCGCAGCGGTGAACTAAAAATCACGGCCAGCTATTCAGAACAAAATTTTCTCAAATATACACCGTGAACTATGGTTCACGGCTGTAGTTCACGAATATGGGAACTCTTTTTTTCCCGTGCAATTATATCTTTTACCTCTTTCGCTGCTAGCGACCGTTCGACGGTTAAAGGGTAGCAGGGTCTTTTGCCAAGTTCCATAGAAGAGAGGTCCTCAACACGCAAGGTCACGCCACTGTGCTGGTGGAAATTAACACCAATCAATAAACCTTCACGGCCAATGAGGTCAACCCAAATTTGAGTTCAGTCTACTCATAACCGCAAAAAATGCAGGAACTCAGCGATGAGTAAATTTGCCGAAACGAAAATTTTACTCAGTCTAGGAGTAGTACCAATACAGGCATAACATTTGATAACGGCACAAAAGCATTTGTAAACAAACTTTCTAAGGCCCTTTACACGGGAACCAAAGTACGGCCACTCAAAACAACAACATCATCGGATAGGGGCAACTATCACCTTTCCGAAAGTGGTATTGGTTTGCGTGGGCGTACTTTGGTTCGCGTGTAAAAGGCCTTAGAAAGTTTGTTTACAAATGCTTTTGTGCCGTTATCAAATGTTATGCCTGAATAGACTGACAGAATCCAATCATTACTTTTCCTCATATTCGGGAATTTTTTACTGGAGAAACATGAGGCAAATTTACTCATCGCTGAGCTCCTGCACTTTTTACGATTTATGAGTAAACTGAACTCAAATTTGGGTTGATCTCATTGGCCATGCTCAGGTTGGACGCGATGGCTGGTGGGGCAGCAATTTTAACCTATACCCAGTATACCTACCACTTGGCTCTGCTCTTCAGAGGATTTGCAGGAAGCATTTAGCCTTGATGGTTTCAAACAGTGATGCAAAATATCATGACACTCACGGGACACTCGTCTTCGCATCAACCGACTATTGCTGACAGATCGTTTTGTCACGCACTGAGAGTTAGAGCCATGGCAAACAACAATCACCAGTAATGGTCGCTGCTCACAAGCAAAACGTTACACTCGCTATTGATAATGTAAAGCACAACGAAAACAGTGAAGACTTCTGCAGTACGATCATGAGAAAAACCGAAACGACAGAAGAAAATGAAAACAATGCCTCCGCATTCTAAGTCCGTCTCGGCAGGCACGAGTGTGTGAGTTACAAACAAAGCAGGCATCATTAAACGGAAGCTGCTGGGCTCACTCACCAACTCACTCACATAAGCAAGCAAAGCAGCAACTGCTTCAAAACGAGCACAGATGAGTGTCGTGATTGCCAGGAATGACCAGATCGGTGATGGATCACAACAGAAGACGACATTCACCAGTTGCTTTTTACTTCTTTCGTCAACTTGATGGATGGTCATGGAGTGAGCTTCGACGAGCAGATTGATAGGAATGTACAAAGCGTTACTACCATCAGCTGTTTGATGATGGTGATTGTGATAGGTCGCAACTCTGGTTTCAAATTCTTATCCCAGAAAACACACTACTCTAGATTTTACATGTACTCTAGGAAACCAGCTGGTTGTAAGGTGTGATAAAATTAAGGACCTAGGAATAATTCTTGACTCGAAGTTAACATTAGTAGATCATGTGAATACCACAATTCACAAAGCAAATGATATGTTGGGATCCCAAGTAACATTGCAAGTTTTATCGAGGTTTGAAAGCATGCTACAAGTCTAAATCTCCAGAACCCTCATAAAACCAAAATTGTTTCTTGGGATTCATCAAAAGATTTAGTTATCATTTTAAAGACCCATACCATACTATCAAAACTCTTTATATACACTGCTAAAAAACAGCACTGTAAATTTCCGTTACTATGATGCACATAAATGGAGCGTCATATATCATGCAAGTTTACATTATAGATCGTGTAAATTTATGAGACATGTCATGCAATATGCCATATATTGTATGCAACTGTCCACCTTTGTTTGCAACATTTCTTGCAAGCTGCTAGTTTACGTGAAAAGTAAGTTTACATGCTTGAATGTGTGCATGCATGGATGTTTACATCACCAGTAAAATTTAGATTTTTTTTGCTGTGTAGCTTACGTGAGATCAATTCTCGAATATTGCAGTGTGGTTTGGGCTCAATACCATGAAACTTATATAAATCGTATAGAATCAGTTCAAAAACAGCTTTTGTTATTTGCTTTGGACCGCTTTTCTCCTTCTTTCTTATGAGTCCCGTTGCATGTTGATAAACATTAAAATACTTAAGAAACGAAGAGAATTTTCCATGATTTCCATTGTTAATGATATTATCTCACAACGCGTAAATTCTGAAAAAATATATTAGCAAGTTTAAATTTTTACGTGCCATCACGCATGTTAGGAACTCGAAATGTATTTCAACTGTCACCTCACAGAACGAATTATGGTAAAAATGGACCAATCAATAGAATGCTGAGAGTGTATAATAATTATAGTGAGCGTATAGATATAACGATGTCTACAGATACAGTAAGGAGAACACTAACTGCTAGGCTTTCATCTCGTTGAGTTTAAAACAATTTTTATTTCTTAGATATTTGTATATGTAGTCTACATTGACAGTTTCAAATAAAACGTTTGTTTCAAAATAGCACTATTGTAAAACGGTCTACACTGATTGACGACAAATAAACAAATAAACAAAGCTCTCGGTTGAGCGCCCATGCCAGTTTTCGTCACTGTTGATCCACTCCTGTACATAAATTAATTGCATTGAAGTTGATAGTTTTTTTTTCCACCATGAAAATTTAAAGAACCGTAATTCCTTTTCTCTTGCGAAAATCTACGTCCGATGTATATATTTTCCATCACCTCGTAAGGTCGATGTAATTAATTAATGAGAGAAACGGATTCGAATCTCAAATTCCATCAGCCAAATACATCTGTAGACCATAGATCCACCGTTGTATAACGGGTAAGCACCCAAATGAGTAATTTTGGGTTCAAATCCCACCGGCACACGTAGATTTTTTCGCAAATTTTCTCACACGTACCTCTGTTACCGATGATACGTGCTTACCTTACAGTATCTTCTAACATTCTCATAAAGTAATTAATTAATTTTAGATAGGTACTAACAAACTCACTGAACCTACACACTTAGAAATTCTCAATTTTACACGTGACGGAATCTATCTTTGACATAAAGGAAGAGACGTAAACAAACATGTCATGTGCTCCGAGACTGAAAAGTTCAAAATTACGTTTGATTGAGCTGAATTTCGCGTCTATTATGACTCAATTTTATGTCAAAATTGACGCTCGTATATGTCAGTCTCAGAGCACCTAAATTTACATGATTTTTTCTAAGTGTGTAGTATCCGTCGTTTTGATCACATAACATATGTGGAACTGCATGCAAAATAACTTTCTAAAAGTTGACCCATTTTTTGTGTTGCCTCAGTGGTATAACTGGTATAGTTGGACATCGATCTGTCAAAACAAAATTGTCGGGATATCGACACTGTGCATTCATAAGGACCAATGTCCAAAACGTAAACAATGGCTTCTTTCGTATTTTTCTTGTACACACTTAGAAAAAATCATGTAAATTTAGGTTCTCTGAGACTGACGTATACGAAAGTCAATTTTGACAAAAAATTGAGTCATAACAGACGCAAAATTCAACTCAATATAACGTACTTTTCGTCCAACTCAATATAACGTACTTTTCGTCGAGTAACGTACTTTTCAGTCTCGGAGCACTTAATTTTACATTAAATATTTGTTTACGTACTTTTCGTCCAACTCAATATAACGTACTTTTCGTCGAGTAACGTACTTTTCAGTCTCGGAGCACTTAATTTTACATTAAATATTTGTTTACGTCTGATCCTTTATGTCAAAGGTGGATTCCGTCACGTGTAAAATTAGCTATTTCTAAGTATGTAGCTCCTAGTCATTCCATGTAAGCCATCAATTCCATCGGATAGGGGGACTCTCCCTCTAGACAGTTTACGTGTAGTTGACTCAAGTGGTGTTTCATTCTCGGGAAATTCGCAGAAAAAGTTTACGTTTGCGACATTAGCTCTTATGAAAGAAAAGCAGATATATGGTTGCATGCTCAGTAAGCATTGACGTTGACGACGACCCTGCAACTCTCTACTCCTTGGTAAAATTCCATATGCATCTGAAAATATGTGCATGAACTCTAGCGGACTTTGTCTTATCTCTTCACTCCACCATAGGACCAGCGAGCCACCATCTTTTCACACAAAGCTTGATAGTATCTTATGCAATTTTCATAGGAGTGAAAAGGTAAGGAAATGTCCACCAGGTTTCACGCACAGACTGACGATTGCGGATGGGATTTTACCATATGAGTAAAGAGATATAGAGAGAAGGCGAATTGTAAATTGCGCGATGTCAATCATACAAGGCCTGGCCCAACTGACTTATTGGTATTACACAGTTGAATGTGAAAGGTGGTGTTCGTATTTCACCTAAGAGTTTATCTTTTTACACGAAACAGCTGTTGCCTGTG